TGACTTATGACGGTTATTCACACTTACAACCACACCCACGTTCCCATGGTCAAAGTTACAACGGCACTGAAAAAAGTGACTTATGACGGTTATTCACACTTACAACCACACCCACGTTCCCATGGTCAAAGTTACAACGGCACTGAAAAAAGTGACTTATGACGGTTATTCACACTTACAACCACACCCACGTTCCCATGGTCAAAGTTACAACGGCACTGAAAAAAGTTACTTATGACCGCTATTCACACTTATGACCGCCACCATGTTCCCATGGTCAAAGTTACAACAGCACTGAAAAAAGTGACATAACCGTTATTCACACTTACGACCACACCCACGTTCCCATAGTCAAAGTTACAACAGCACTGAAAAAAGTTACTTATGACCGTTATTCACACTTACAACCACTGTCACGTCCCCATCAAAACTCTTGGCAGCTCATATTTATGATGGTTGAAGTCAGAAGTGGGTTTTACATGATTTTACCACCGGTTTGCCGTGCATCAAAAATGTGCGCGCATGCCTTCTGTGCATGCGCTTTGCTCGTGCGTGCACCTCGCACGAATGCATGTGGCTTAGAAAACATGGCTAAATAGGACAGTTTAGTGTTAGGGCGGGTGGGTGCCACCCACAGGTCACCACTACCGGTCACCCAAACCAGTCCGAACCGGCTGAATGCCACCACTGGTTGAAGTGTCCCGAGGTCACGTGATTCCCTTTTTTTGCGACATTCCAACAAGCAAAACCCATGGGAATTCACTCAATGATGTTACTCACTTAGCAACTGCAGTGATTCGCTTAACAGCGGCGGCCTAGAAAGTTCGTAAAACGGGCACAACGTGTCTTAACAATGATTCGTTTCATGAACGGAAATGTTGGGCTCATTTTCGGTCATAAGCCGAGGACCGGCTGCAGACCGATGAAAGAAAGAAAGAAAGGCGATGTTTGTTCCAGCAGACGGGGACTCTGCAAACACAACACCTGGCTGATTTTCAGAGGTCCCCCCCTCCCCCCCCGTGCCTGTCCCTCCCCTCCGGGGTCCCAAACGGGCCTCGAACCCCAGACCTTGACAAAGACGGCAAAGAAGAGGTCGACGCTGAGTTCCTGCACTCGCTTGGAAGCCATCTTGCGGTTGTTGCAATGCTCCGCTTGCTTCTGTATCGCGGCCTCCTCCATCTGTGGGGCAGGAGCCAGCCCTTGAAAAGAGACACCCTCTGGTTGTTAGTAGCCTGGGGGAGACGTCTGCCCGCCCGCCCCCGCCGTTTTCTTGGGGTGGTAGGTACTGTGAGAAAATCTCTTCCCACACCTATTGTCAGCGTTCCAAGTATCATGTAGAATTAAATCGGAGTCCAAGGCAAAACGATCCTTAAAGTTCCAATTTAATAAAGCAGACATCTTAGGCACATTGCTATTAGATCCTCCATAATAAACACCAAATCATTCACGAATGCTTGTAATTTATATTCTTCTTCCTTTACCCT